ACAAAGCAAGTTTCGCTGTACAGGACTCAGCACACTGACACCTTTGCGCTGCTCGTTACTGGCTACCGCACTCATTACGACCCCCCCCCCTCTCCTGGCGGCCAAATACGACCCCCCTGTTGGGGATTCCCCAACCAACGATGTGCCCTGGACTGAAGACTGCGGACTCGTGAAGTATCGCGCGTGGATTTAAATGCGGATATATCGATTAGATGCACGAACGCTCCACATGTGCAGTGAAACTGTTGATCCCCGTACACAGGGCCTTTTCAACGATCATTTGTGAGAGCGGTTGTTCGTTTAGTTATGAGCAGTTCGTTAGGCTTTTGGTTTCTATAGTAATGCATAAAGGGAACTACAACCTAAGCTTTATATCCGCTGTGGGCTTCCAGGGATTGCGAAAGATGAAAGGAATTGAAATTCGCAAGAAAAGTGCTTTCATACCGTTTTTTTTGTACTGCGAACCTCTGTTTCCTTGCATTCTCATACTCAGCATGAGAAATGATTCATCCAATACCTTATAGAACTTCTTTAGTTCTTTCCTGACAACGTGTTCGTGCTTGTGATTCTCTTCTAATCCGTTCCACAAACAAATAAGCAAAAATGCTGCACTTTAGTGGAATGAACGTAAGCGTCCAGCACAGCAACTGCACCTGACACGCGCCAATGTAGACAGCTACTGCTTCCTTGGTTAGGCACACCTTTTCTCCGTCAAAACCGCAGTGTGACACAGTCGAAATTTCTAACTACTGACAGTACCTCTTCTCTCTGTAGGGTTTTTGCGAAATCGCCGTTGTCAGCAGCTGGAATGGAAACGGTATGATGAACGGAAAGACCAGCCACACTCCTCCTGACGGAATGTGCTGTGTATCCCTGTTGTCTAATTAGTTGCTTGGCTCCGATCGTGGGGTCGCATTTTTGCTCAAACCGCATTTCTTCAATTGGCGATCATACAATGTTCAAGGACTGATGGCTGCAACAAGAAACTTCTCTGTCCTCTTTTTTGCCACGAAGGCATCCTAGCACGCACACCTTCCTCTACCCTTATAATGTCACCATGAAAAAAAGCCATAAAAATTCATTGTAATGTATGAATAAATAATCAGTAAAGCATTGTAACTCTGGACATTTCGAAATAAATGTTTTGTATCATACAACACTAGAGACCTGATTTCACTCTCATAGGTAGGCTCCTACTTCCTAGAAGTGTACACTGTAAATTCTTTTTCTGCTGATATCGGTCATACACATCAAAACAGCAGGAAACAGTATGGTAGCGCCACACAATGATGTTATTCCAAGAGTAAGTAGCATAGAGCCAACCTGGAATTAACAAGCGCCTTTTGCGGGGATACCTGACCAAAGTCAAATGGAAGGCTGAGCTTGCCACTCCCTTCCATACCCTGAGCAAAAGCAGCCGTATTCGCGAACAACAAAGGAATTCCACAGAGAACGGAAGTAATGGCACCAAGAAGACAAGCTCGTCCGGCAGAGGATAGGCATGAACTGCAAAGCAGATTGATTACACACAGCCATTGGGATAGCTCGAACGTGCTAAAGATTGCTGTTGACTGGTTCCACCATTACAAAGTTTCACAGTCATCTCGTTCAGCTCCTCCTTCGGAAATCTCCAGAACTAAGTAATAAGGGTTGAAAAGGTCCTATTGCACCCGTTATCGTCCCATTCACTCAGCACTATAGAGCGTCAACTCTTTCTTAATTTGCTAGAGGTCATCAGAAACTTTCTCCCTTAGGACGACGTTTTCCGGATAAGGGGATCTGCATGCCCCGGATAGAGTTCAGTATTCATTCCATGAATATTCTGATGTGTTTCAGGCATATGGTTGCTTTCGCTGCTGATGCTGTGGCTGTGGCGTATAAGAGGATAAGTTTGGCGTGGCACGGGCCACTTTCTAGCAAGGGCTGAGCTTCAACAACTGGTGAACAACGGGATGGAGCCCCGTCGAACCCAGTCCCCCCCCCTAACCCTCAACACACCCTAGCCAGCTACTGTAGCGGAAATATTGTACTTTCTGGATTGCGGCAGTAACAACTAACCTTATCCTCACTTTCACTTCTTTTTCGATCTCATCTCGATAGGAGACGGCAAAATGGAGAGTGAAATCGAAGCTGAGACCGATGGTGAGCACGATAATCGTCGACTCAACAACACTTAGTTCCCAACCTGAATAGGTAGTTTGTTAATAGATTCAGAAGAACTGCTGGGCGAGCATTAAATTCTAGAATAAAGCAGCTCTAGTATAGTAAAAGCGATGCTCAGTCAATATACTCGTAGCTACATGGAAATTGCTCTTTCAGGACTTCTATGGTAAGAGCAATTGTTTCTTCAAGTCCATGGTGACGGGCCTAAAGCCTTGCTGTTCATTGGTAACCACTCCTGATTCTCTACATCGCGAAAAAACCTGCTATAAAAATTGTTCCAATTCCGACTGTTTGTGGGACTGTCCCGAGTAATTGCCGTGCATGTGGCTTAACACGCATTTCATCCAGGACACACCATGCATGATTTTGGGCTCATGGTCCAGCCCATAGCACCAAAAGGAGCTAGTGAAACTGGAGCAGTGAAACACGATAAGCTAAACGCATTCAATCACGTCATTGTATTCCTGATCGTTGACAGCGGAATAGTAATATAGTAAAATAGAAATAGTACCCTAGAGCCTAACTGACATTGTGTGGCCTTGAAAAGCACCAAGCTGCATTCAGGCCTTGGGCTATACAATACTGAATGGCAAAGCCATTCGCGATCATTCGCCACCACAAATAATGGATTAGGGGTTTTCATTCAGACGACAAGTTCTGAGTAACTCGACAGTGAAGAAAAAAGCAGAAAAACATGCCAACTGCCCTAGATAGAACCCCATTCCGATCCCAATTTGTACGTGCCCAATAACTCCCATGTCCAACACTGCGCCTTTATCGGCACAGCTGATTCCCTGATACAACCTGCTCGACCGTACAAGCGACGATTTTCATATTTCTCGTCCTGCAGCTTCGTTTTTCATTGAAAGGCGAGGCTTGAATGCGGAGTTTGGAGGCGGAGTCCTGGAGGGAAGGAGGCGTCAGTGAACCTACAGGGGGGGGGGCCAAAAAAAAGTCATTTTGCCTCCATGACTTTCAAGGCGCTATAAGTTACACTTTATTAAATTTTTATCGGACATTTTTACTACC